AAATATATATATATATATATATATATATATATATATATATATATATATATATGACATGAATGAAGTATGTACTTGTGGAAAGTTTCCGATCATCTTAAAGCGATGATAAAGGAGCTTATTTCATTTGAGTTTATCGAGTTAATTAGTAATAATCTTCTTTTTTGAAATTTCAATTAGTTTTTTTCATTTGTTCCTGATTATTTATTGTTATCAGTTAATGTTATTTTATATTAATTATTCATCTTTTAGTTTTATTAATTACATTTATTTTAATTTGTTTTTTAATTACATTATGATTCATTTTGATGTGCAAGATTTTAGTACATTAAAACATATCGAATGCAACAATTTACTGGGTAAGCGCTTACCTGGGTAAGAGTCGTCATTCTCATTTACCCGTTAAGACTCTCCATCATTCTCATCGCTCTTACCCGGTAAGATTCTTGACCCTTCTTATGTTCATCCGATAAGGAAATTTATGCGGTAAGCACTTACCAAGTAAGTGTTTAGTAAACGGCCCCTTAGTATACGATATACTAATCAAGAATCATTTTCGTTTTGAGAAAACTGAAATTTGATATCAACATTTATACTCAATTCTAGATTGGATTTCAATTAAGAATTGGTAATCAAGATGCAAAAGTGAAGCATCTCAAACTATGAATTATAATTTATAATCTACAACCAGTTTTAGCGACGAGCAACACTTGCTTCTCGAAGCGTTGTGACGTCGGCTAATAAGTCTCGTTTCCTACATAAGCATGCGAATACAAACGTAATATAAAAGAATAACCATAAAACATCTATAAGTACCCATTTATAAACCTATTTTGGTTTTATTGGGCGCAACCTCGTTCGAGAGGCTAGCTTAGGCCTATTTAGCAGCCTCGGGAGCAGGAGGATTGGCTTTGGCTTCTTCAATAAGTTTGACGATTTCTTGTCGTTTTACATTGAGTGCCTGAATCTTAGAATCAATCTTCTCAAGCTTGGCCGTGAGTTTGGTCGGATCTTTTTTATCTTCGGGATTCTTTTCTTTTTTTTCCTTTTTTTCTTTTTTGTCCTTCTTCTTCTTCTTATCTTTCGTCTGTTCCTTATCGGTTTCCTTACTGGTTGCAACGTCTTTTTCGTCTGTCTCTCCCATTCCTTAGCACATGTAACATAATCATAATCATCGTACAAAAAGTATAAATTAAATCAAAAAAATAATAATAATAAAGATAAAAGTTGAAATACCAACCTGAAATTGTCAAAATTGTGTAGTAAAAAGTCCAAATATTCAGGTAATGTGTTGGATCAAGAGTGTCTTGAAGCTTTTAAATCAGAAACTTTTGACTATTTTTGGATTGAAATGATGGATTGAAAACATACCACAAAACTTATGGTCTTTAGGAATGTGAATACCCCACAAATGGTGCATCACCAATTAAAATACTTATGGCTTACAATCAATCATCTCTTCTTTTCTAAATACAAAACATATTAATAATAAGTTTAAAAATATTAATTAGACCAAATATCTCCTTATCCTTATGGTCACGGATGTTTAAATGCGGTGACTTTGATCTACCTGCAAAACAGGTGATCGTCCTGCTCGCATAACGGATTGGATATCCAAATTAATAAAAAAAAAAGATATAAGAAGAACTTCTATGTAAAGTAAATGTAAGGGCTTATTGAGCTCAACATATTTTCATCGCAAAACATTGAAAATTTGGAGCACCCAATTTGGGGCAAATGTACTCTAAACCAAGCCTTATTTGTGTACCTCTCAACACTACATTAGCCTATCCGATAAACTTGGAAGCCTTCTAAAGAAATTCAGGCTGCCCGGCGGCATTGGTTCCCTAAACATCGGGTGGCGTAGAAAGTAGAATCCGAGAGCCACCGCTGCCATCTTCGATGGCACAACGTACAATACCACCGTGATTATAAGACACACCCCAATGAACAGTTTCGTAGCTCTTGGATCCCTCCAGCTCACCAAGGCTTGGACCCTCTCCCCTTGTGTTGCAAAATCACCAAGCACGGTTTGGACCCGAGCTGCCAACATTCTTAATCGGTCATACCGGGCACGGATTAGCTCTGGAGGTCTTGAACTTGGAAACGTGTCGAATTCCTCATCTAAGTCTTCTGGATCAACAGTTTCTGCTTGAGAGAGGCGGATGTCCATACCTGCAGGTGATTTTGGTCGGAATCTGTAGTACCAGATTCCGATAAGACATACGTATAAAAATGTAGTTGGGACTATTAAATCTGGGTACCAAACGAGAACCAAATATAGCAAATGGACTAGAACTGTTGTAACCGGGTTCTTCCACCTCCTAATGTTGTCTAACCATTTCGCCAACCCGATCGCCCATGCGAGTACACCCACAATTCGAAACCAATTCGCTTTACTCTTTCTCATGCTCCAAGTATGGGAATCTGCATCTAACATGTAACGAACCACCTCTGAACCTAGTGGCGGCTCTGACCTTGCTAGCCAAGCCGCCACCATTTTTGTGGCCGCCCCACGTAATGCCTCTTGTTGGGCCACTCCTAGTGGACGCAAATAGTGCATTCGTGGAAGCAAAGGTTGCCCGTAAACCGCACATGTGTCAGGCAGCAACGACGGGCAAGCGAATCGAACTGCCACCTCAATTTCTCCCATTTTCTTCAACCCAGTTCGTTGTAAAACTAACAAAGGATATGAATTGGTGTATACCTTGTTACTCTCTAATGTAGATACTCGTATTCGGACTTTTCCGATCCGGAAGTCGGGTTTTTCTTCTGCCATGTCCGCAAACATACGCCAATTGTCAAACACCCCTATGGTTAGAACCGTGCACGGGTCATAAACCTGCCACGTGTACTGTTCGTTCCACCGTGGATCAAAACTATCGGTGATGGTCCGGGTTCGCACCCATTTCTTTCCATACTTTGCAACACAATACGGATCGGTGGAACCTTTGCCACTGCCCCGGGATTTCATCGGAAGTAGCCCACGAGCACCGAGGATGCCGAGCTCTAAAATCCCGATTGCCGGCTTCCACAGTTGCTTTGCAGTCGGTCGGAAGTCACTGCACACGTGCGCTGCCTCGTCCAGCACGTGATACCCGCCTTCCAAGCACATTCGTAAGTGAATTCTACCACAATAGGAACCTCCCGGACCACCCTCTAACGACAACCACCTTGCTGCAACGTGGCGTTCATCTATTCGGTGCTCAATTGCAGCTACAGGGATCAAGACATGTCCAAGCAGCACTGGATCCTTCCCTGTTCGGTCCTCTAACAGTAAGATCAAACTGTCTTCCAGTGGCTCGCCGGCGACAAATACCAGGTCCTCATGCCAGAAAAACGACGCCGTGTGGTTGTTCATTACCCCTCTCCTTGTCCTCACGGACTGAAACCCTAGCTGTGCTTTAACTCGAACCTCTGGTGCTGTTAATGGAGGAAGATTTGGGGCAATCTGGAGATCCTGAGCTTCCATGATTGTAACTCTAAGGTACCACAGTTTAGGCGATTGGTAGACCTTTGATCTAGTATGCGAAACATATGGTGCGTCTGAGCTCCATGATTCAGGGAATGCGTCGTCAGCTTGAGTTCCAATCCAAACAGAGAGTTGTATGTCCCCGGAAACTTTTCCGGCGGCGTTAGGATCATCGCTGCCTTCGAGCCGATACCATTGAGGAGCAAGTGGACTGTCAGGGGGATCACGAACGGGAACGTCGGAGAGATCGAAGCACACACCGCCGAGGAAATTCTCCGATTGTGCGTCCCACACTGAGATCTCGAGCGTCGAGGAGTTGGCAGATTCCGGCTTGTTGTAGGCGAGAGCAAAGACCTGGTGCCACTCTGGATTCGAAGGTGGTTCACCTGGTCTTGGAATCCCTGGCTTTGACCGGACGGAATTACCGATTCTTACATAGGGGCTTTCGTTCTGTGAGAGTTCACGAGCCTTGACGATCCTTACGAACAAGTATTGCATCGGCTCGACCAAATCATAGGCCGGAATTCTCTCAGATTCTCCGTTCGCGGATCGTCTCGGTATGACTCGCGGCGAGTAATCTCCATTATCGGGACGTTTTAAAACTCTAACTCTCTCGCAGCCTCCAATTGCTACTCCGACTCTCCCTGTCTGCATTCTCCTCATTTCCGGCGGATATTCCGGCTGAACTGGAGGTGGAATCCCTTGATTCTGATGCTGCTGGTGATGATGATTTTCCATCCTCACTGTCACTCCCGGTGGAGCTTCCTCCATTGTAGCCATTGGCGGTGAATGTAAATTTTCCGTGACAGCCTCTGTCGGAACTGGAACCTCCAAAACTCTTACCTCCTTCCCTTCCTGCTGCGGTTGCGGTGGCGCCTCCTTCTCAGACGGTGGTGGTTGAGCATTGTCGTTATTCATCTCCTGATCGACGGCTACTTCGACATCATCGTAGTAGTATATCCTCAAACCAATCTCTCCTCTAATCCAACTAAAAACACTCTTCTTCTCCAATTGAAAATAGATCAAACCTTCATCTCCCTTCCTAGCGAACTGACTTCCGTACAATTTCACTCGCCCCAGAAAATGATTCTTCCGATTACTGCCATTGCTCAGTCTTTTGTCGTTGAACACCTCTATCTCTAACTCCTCGTATTCCATGGTGCTCGGATCGGAGACTACAAATTCCAAGCTCTCGTTCCATACGGGATTCAAGCTCCTAGAAATAGTGGATGTCTTCTTCTTCTGGCCGTCAAAGTCTGCAACTACATAAGCGCTGGAACTGCCTAATCCATCCTTCGGAAGCAGGTCACGCGCGTCTGCAACCTCCACTACTAATTTCCGAATTGGCCTCGTTGGTAATGGAGGGGGTGGTTGTTGTTGCTGCTGCTCCGCCATCATGGTGTCATCGGTGGTGGGTGGTGAAGATGATAGAGGTAAACTTTCTTGATCCTATTGTTTCTTCCAGAAAGAACAAAAATTATTTGGTCACTTTTTTAATTCGCACCTAGCCACCTATTGCTTTCTCTTTGTTTTCCATTATCCTCTTATTCTTCTACGCGTAAAACATACAAAAAGACCATATTTATATAAATATTTTCCAAAATGCATTTCTTAAAACACAATTTGTGATTTCTACAAAATGCCATTGGAACGTTTTCGATACCAAATACGATTATTCGTAAAGCAAGCGAATTTGGGAATGTTTTGTGTCTCAATGAAGATTGATTGAGGAGGAGAATGTTTTAGGCATGAATTTTGTGTTGATTTGATGAGATTCCATACCCTCTTCAATAAGGTTTCAGTCTACTTTATAGTTGTAATCTCTTTAATGGGTTTTGATTTGTTAAAATATTTTATATCTAAAAACTTGTTATTTACTCTTGTATTTTTATTTCTTGTAAAGTAAAACCAAACTAACCGAGTAAATCCCATACAAAACAGGATCTTAAAAACTATATTAGGATGCATAAAAGATTTGGTGTTGATGGGGGAGGATGGTGACGATGAAGTAGGGGAGAAGTTAAAAGAAGAATTTGAATATGTTGCTTTTGGCCAAGCAAATAAATCCCTTGTTGTGGACATAAGCATTAGATTCTTTGTCCCAAATGCACAAGTTACTTTTTACTCCTCATTAATCTGCATTCTCGTTCACTCCAACTCCATCTTGCAGGAGCAAAGATCACTGTTTTCAACCACTTGTAGTCCTAAGATGCTATGATCCCTTTTCTTGTCAAAAAGTGGTTTTTTGAATAAAGTTTATAGAAGAAAGCATCCCCCTTTTCCAATCCCTTCCTTTGATCAAGGGACCCTGTTTAATTTTCAAACTTACCATTAGCTGTCATTTATTTGTCCTTAGCTACTGTGTCTAAAAAGATTGTCTGGCTTCAACCATCATGCCTTGTTCAAGTTTATATTAGTCCAGGAGTAGCTTCAACTCTCTCATGGCTATTTAGCTCGATGACCTCTAAAAGCTGGTTTTGCAAAATGACCCTCTAGTGAATTTCTAAGTTTTTCGGGAGCAGACTGTTATTAATCATGGACCGGCGGTTTTGGGCTGGGGCATTTTAGATGAAAGGTCATTGGGCTAAAAACATTGCAGGGTCATGCTTCTAATTGAAACCTTGTTTAAAGTCATTTATCCAAAGGACCCACTTTCTGTTACCTAAGAAAAATGAAAGCTTTTGATGGTAAAAATTGTCCTTTTTGCGCTTCTACGACACATCGACCATGTTAAGTAGACTGTTCTTGCATCAGTTGAGGATAATGGTGGCCAATTCTAGGATGGTTAGCGGATTCTCTCTGCATATTTTTAAAGAAGCTTCTCCATCCAACATCATGCAGAGCCAGTTTGGTTGAGCACAACTCTGGCATCTGATCCTTTTAGATAAAGTAAGAAAAAGAAAAAGAGAAAAGTATTGATGCTAGTGTTTTTGTTTCAGGTGACAATGATCATCAGGATGTCATCTGCTGCTGGCTAGATTTGAACTCAGAAAAACACTTGGTATTACCACAATCAAGCTGGAACATTATTTAATATATTTGCAATTTGTGTTACATTTCTTATTCTCAAGTATGAAGTTTACAAGAGCTATATATCTGCAATTTGTGTTGCATTTCTTATTCTCAAGTGTGAAGTTACTGTCCATTTGACTGTAACTTCTGAGTTACCAACACCCCCAATGAAAATGCAAAGATTGCTGTCATAACAATCCCTTTATTCTTTCTTAGTTTTTCAATTGCGAGTCTCAGAAACAAATCAGCCTCTTTCCCCCAATCCTCTTCAGAATCCCTTATGGGGTTCTTTCTTTCAACAACCTTCTCACCATATTTGTTATCACTTTCATCTTCATTTTCATATGCTTCAGATTTCTTGTCACTATCATCTTCTTCATCAGATTTCTTGTCACCATCATCTTCTTCATCAGATTTCTTGTCACCATCATCTTCTTCATCAGATTTCTTGTCACTGTCATCGTCATCTTCATCTTCATCTTCAAGTAATCCCGGTTCATGAGACACCTCCCTCTCCCCACCATGAATGCTGCTATCATGTTTGATCTCTTGGTGTTCTTGTTCTACTTTCTTTGGGACTGAAATGTACAGAATCTCACCATCAAGCTTCCCTGTGATTTTTTCTATGTCTGCATTCTTTGGCAACTCAAAACTTTGCTCAAATCTCTTGTATTTGTTCTCTCTCACCTGCCTTTCTCCACTAACTACTATACGAGTCTGGTTATCCACTTGAAGCTTTAGCTCGTGCCTTTTGAAACCTGCAATCAAACATTTTCAGGGATTAACATTGTGGGGAATTTTTCTGTTATATTCAGGGCCCATGGGATTAGTTACCCAAAAAAAAAGCATTTTTTATCCAAATAAATCATTTCATAAACGTTTAGTATTTGAATATTATGTACCAGGAAGATCGACAAGGAGGTAATGGCACGTTGAGTCTTCTGTCCAAGCTGAGGGAGGCACAAACTCTTCGAATGCCAAACTACTGGAGCTTTTCCTGTCAGCAAAAGGTGCTCTCCCGGGGATATATGCCATCTGATAATTAATGAAGTTGGAGCGATGTATGATAGGATAGGTTGCTATAATATCACCGGGAAAACGACAAGTTATATATAGAACATGATCATATGTTATTCGACTTGAAGAGATGGTAAACGATTGAAGTGACCTTTCTTGCAAGCTTATTCATTTGTTATTCCAAACTTTAGCCATTGGACACTGGTTTATTATGTCTCATTCTTTGTATCTTCATATATTCTCATACAACCCACAAAACAAACACGAAAAAAAATTCAAGTAAACAAATGGATTTTAGATTGTTAAAGAGATGAGCCAAAGAAAAGAAGGCTCTATTCTTTGCTTTTCTTGCGTCTGAAATTCCCTTTCTACACTTCAAACAGCTTAATATATCAACACATTTTATTTCACAAATTTGTTTTCTTAGTATTTCTAAAATAAATAACAATTAAGAGGCAACCTCTAAATCGTTAAGAGATGAATCTTGTTTAGCAAAAAAAAAAGTTGTCTTTTAATGGTTCTAAAACCCTCTGAATGATTTTGTATCATGGATCTCCCTTAACCATCAAGAGCCCTAATTTCATTGTACACAATTACCAAACAATTATATTTCATTTTGCACTATATAATGAGAGCCTCTTAATCATTCTGCACCAAACCATTCAGCAATTGCCAAACAGCCCCTTTACATGAAGTTGAAAGGAAAAAAGACAACCATCACTCTAGGTGGGTTCAAATGATGAAGGAAACTATAAATAGTTCCCTGGTCTAGACTTGTTTTATTGGGCAAAATGCTAATGAACAATACCAAGCTGTTGAAGCTACCATATCCATCAAAAAGACTTGTCGAACTATCAAATCAAAGTAAAGCATGAGTTGCGTAGATATAACAGAACAATATTAAAAAGGGGGGGAAGGATGAACTGAAACTAAAACTACAAGAACTTTGTGTTCCTTTGAACATTAACCATCCATCCTAGAAGCCTTCTGTTAGTGCGAAAACACGGCCTGCCAAAGGTGGGTGCAGTGCAGAAAGGGCTTCTTGAATCACCTGCAACCAGATATTTGATTGATGAAAATGCTAATGAACAACTAAAGATGAATGAATGAATGAAGATGCTAAAACTTACATCCAACTGATACCGAGCTGAAAAGTGGATCAACAGAATTGCTTTATTCTCAAATCTGCTTGAATAATTGATTATCTGATTTACCAAAACAAAAATGTCAGCTAATACCAACTGTGAGTAGATATCATATCATAAAAAGAAGAGGATTTGACCTCGGACAAATGTGTGTGTCCGTAGTCTCTTGCATTCTCCACTGTCATTGTATTCTCCACGTACGTGCTCTGCATCAACGTAACAAACATTTACCTGTTATTTTCAGAGCCTCGTAGGATTAGTGGAGGTTACCATAAACTATCTTTTCAGGGCCTCAAGATATTAAAGACAAAAACACGATAAGAGCTAGATTTTCTATTATTGGTATCAACAATGAAGTCAGATGTTACCTCCATAATGAGAATCTTTGCCTTCAATACATCAGCATTATTCGTATCAACAATGAAGTCAGATGTAGTGTCTCCAGTAAAAGCTACTTCAGGTGATGTTGTCGTGTACGTTATCTGCCAAAATACAAACTCACGTTGTTAACCTTGTAACATATATAATATTCAACACTTCTTTTTTACCCCCAATATGTAATTAATATATACTGTCGAGAGAGCCATTCACTAGCAAGCTCATCTTTCATTTTCTATTAGTCTTAGATATTATATTAAATAGTAGCCCCTCGAATTTGAGCTACATGAAGGGGAGAAGTTTCTTACATGCAACTAATAAGCAGGTCGAAATATTTCTAGCTGCTTTCAATAGAAGAGCAGGGTGCTGCTTATACATAAGAACTAATTTTTTTATTAGACTATCATATCGCCACAAACCAACGAAGAAAGTCAACAAAAACAAGTAACGTATGAATGAAGGGATGAAGAAGAGGGGATAAACGCTAGTCATACAAATCTGCTCTCAGTATTCACTTGATGTACCCTGATGGCGGAGGCATAGAAATATATAGATTTTCATTTCCCCTTACATAGAGTTATGTGCAATCAAGATGCCACTTAAACATGCCGTTTCAGAAAGGAAAAAAAAGTAACATTTGAGAATGGTCATAAAATCACTCTCTGCACCAAAAGAGCATGTTGGACAGCTCCACATCTAACTAAATATAGAATAGGATTCCTTAAGGTCCATTTAGTGATAGGTTCAGTTATATATCTCAGATTTGTAGATAAAAAGCAAATAGGAAAAGGTTAATTTGCGGGAAGGAAGAGATAGTTAATATACGACCAACCATGGTAATAGCTATAATTGAGACAGACCTCCACACCTGAGAACTTCAACTTCTTGATTTCGTCCCCTGGCAAACCGACATACTGGGGCTTAAGCTTCTGTTTCACAGAATAAATTACATAACCCTGCTACAAGCCACAAATAGAGCTAATTAACAACTGAACACTCTTTGGGGTGTATTTATGTCTTTTTAGCATTAAAGAAAGATATATTCAGTGATGAGTAAAGACAACTAGCCTGACTTGGTATGACATGATATGTCTTAAATGCTTTTACTTTCAAATCTTTTCTCAAGTAGAATTCTTCCCCTGCAGATGTAACTATGTATCTTAACACTGAATGGTTTTTAACTTTTGCCCACAGTTGAGAGAATCGAAATGAAATAGAATAAGCAAAATGCCAAAAATAGAATTTACCAACATCCAATCCAATCAAAGTATGCTTCAGCTCTGATTGGTCCATTGTCCGGTGTGCTTCAAATATCTTTTCAACACTTTCTTTAATGATTGTTGGTACAATAATAGTTGGTGGAGCCATTCTGTATAAACCACGAGTTGCAACATACATAGGCAATCCTCCCTAGAAGAAAATTCCATGATGAGAAGAAAGGAACTTCAACCCTTGACATGAGATAGTACATCAAGGACCTTTAAAGAAGACTTTGAAAACACATGAATCAGGAAAACCTACAAAAAAATCCCAAAGTTTAAGAAAACAAAAAACTCTGTTCAGGCCCAAAACTTCATCCTAAAATAATTTTTGTCTTAATGTAGTCAAAATAAAACCACACTAGAAACAAATTGATGCATAGGCCTTTCAAGTTAATCACTAACTTGTATACTCAGTACAAAATGACCTGAGCTTACGACATTTCACTCCCTATGTTCCATAAGAAGCTACCCTTTGGTTTATTATTTCAATCTCCCTACTTTTAGACTGCAAAATCAGTAGTGATTTTGTTGCAATTTAGCATCATTATGTGATGATTTATATAACTTCCCACAATTAGCAATGCTTCCTCCAAAAAATAGAAATCCTTAAAATTTGAGGTCAACCCTTTAAAGTGTAGCTCATTTTGGATATGAACTCCTGTTACACAATTTAGAGTTCACTTTGTCAACAAAAGGTTCCAAAATAAGAATCACGGTTAGTGTAAATAACCCAATCTCCAAAGGTGTATCAGTGATGGTAATTCATATTCTTGTTCTTCAAGGAATGTGGTACCTAGTTGTTGAATATAGGAAGTCCATTTCTTTTTTCTTCTCGATAAATATTCCAATATGAAATGTCTCCATGGGTGTATTTGATAACTCCATTTCCATATTTTGGATACTGTTTTGTTTGGATTCTTAATTCTATACTTCTTTACTTCAGTGAAATAAAAAGAACATATTCCCTTGCCCTAGAATTACAGTGCATTTTCCAAAAATTCACAAGACAGGATGTGTTATTACGGGAGAAACTTGAGGTCATTGAACTGTTTACACTAAATGGAATTTAATGGAACAAACCATCCTCAAACAGTATCTAACTGTGGGAATGAAATGTCTCCTATTGTAATTGAGAAGAGAAGTACACAAAGTCTAAAGCAGAGAATAATGACAAACACAGAGGATTACAATGTGATCCATGTGACCATGAGATATGAAGAGGAATTGTTGAGAGATGGCTCGTTGAGGGCACTTTCCAATGTCGAAAGCCAAGTTGAGAGAGGGGAGAATCACACAAGTCTCATGCCCTGCTATCGACAAACCTTCAATCGGGTACCCTTCAATAACCAAACCCTTTTTCTTCTTTGTCTCCATTGCTACCCAGGTTCAGATTCTGGAAACCAAATGTAGTAATGCAAACCTTCAAAGCTTGTTGTCTTTCTCTTGTGATAGTAATAAGATCAGACCTGGAAGTATGGGATTTGATCACTAACGTTCTTTCTAAAATAAAATTTTTGTCCTACCATATGAGTCAGCAACAGGGCCGGTCCTATGGTTTTGGATGCCCTGGGCAGGGAGTCAAAAATATGCCCCTAATCGAATAATCTAATACACAAATAACACACAAATTTTTAAGGGGTTTGGAACCTAGTCCAGCTAGGTGGCTCATCCCCATGCCAACTTTTTTCCAAAAAAGGAAGTTACAACCAGGGGGGATAAAGCAAAACCCCAAACAACAAAACAAAGATTCAACAATAGATATAGTTAAGCATAAATGAGATGGATAGAAAAAATCCCAACTTGGGGTTGTTGGCTTGACTCACTACCTTTTCTTGATCAATTATTAGCAAAATTGCATCCTGTAACAGTGGAAAATGTAGTTAGCCTATACTATTGCTCAATGAAGGCAAGTGTTTAGCATAAGGTATATGATCTTTAGAGACATCTTCTAGCCTTTTAAGCCAATATTTAGAATTTCAAAGATACTCTCTTAAGTTTTTCAGCTAAGTTGCTGTCCTATTTTTATTTTTAAATAAGGTCTTTCGGTGTATGTTGTTTTGTTTACATTATTTTAGATTAGCAACCTTGTTCGGCTTCTATCTTGCCAATATTCCGAATTTAGTCAAGTTTTCAAGTAATGAACCAAGGAATCTGATACAGGATGGGGTTTTGGGAAGTCCTAGTTTTATTTTAATGGTTTTCTGTTGTTAGACTTTATTCACTCCAGTGAAGACCTATAATTCTTCCATCAATTGCATTTCCCTTTGAATGGTACTGCCAAGAGAGGATCCATGTCAATTCTTGCCTCAATATTTAATCTATTAGCTGTCATGTTGTTTGGCAGATGGTCCAAATAAACAAGCAACCAAACCAAAACTCCAAATAACCAATAACCCAATTGAAATATCAAATAGGTTTAGAAAATCACTCAAATGGTCAAATTCATTGGAAGATATCAGATTTTAGCATATAAACATTAAGTCTATTAACAAAACATCAAGATTCAAGATATCAAGAAGCAAAAAATTAAGCAAATAATGAAATCAATAAACAATAAATTAGGTCTTAGATAAGATAAGTAAAAATACCTGGAATGATGAGAAACCGAGAGCAAAATCAGATCGGGCACCACTAGACACTAGGGTAAAATTAGATTGAGAGGAGCCTGGAGAGTGGAGACGGAAGTGTGGAGAGTCAAGACTCGAGAGATTGAGAGGGATGCGTGGCGTGCGATAGAAACTGGGAAGTGGGAACAGAAGAGAAGCGCTTTTGTTTTTTCAAACCTTTTGTCATAAAAAATATTATATATGATTTAATAACCTAGGATCACGTGAAATCGGCATGTTTTTGTGATACCATATTTTTTAAACTTAAAATTTCACCGTAAAATGCTGTGAAGGTAACCTTCACAACGTTTTTGCTGTGAACCTTCGGCTTTTTTTTTACCCTCACAGCGTTTTGCAGCGAAGTTTCAAGTGTAAAAATGTGATCACATAGGCCTCATGAAAACAGATCAAAATTTCAGCTTGTCTCATATGTAATCATTTTTGAAGAGTTCTCCAAATTTGGAGAATTTCAGCTTGTCTCATATTTAGATTCTAGAAATTGCAAATAATTTGAAAAGCCATTCGGACTAACATCGTGATACAAATAACGTTGTTAAATAAAAATATGTGAACGCTCTAAGAAAGAAATAACATTACAACATTTTAAGAATCAATGGGTCGAACGACCATGTTTCTTTTGTGTTCCCACAATCTTCACATTCTTTTCGTTTTCCTCCCCATTGATGAGTATCTTTGGTTTTGAGCTCAGTTGCATCTCTTCGTAAAATCGTATAAACGAAATGAACTATGTAATCATTTTTTTTACTTTTAAATGACGTCAGTTTTTTTTTATTGCTAGACTGGAGCTATTTTAGTATTTCAAGGCAAATAAACACAAACATCGTAGCTTGATTGGACCAATCTAACTCGATTAGACAGTCTTACACGACTAAGTGAGTCTAGCTCGATATGTTAGATGACGCCAATTTTGATGAAAATTGTTGTGAATCAAGATTTTTTATATTTTAATTTTTTTTAAACAACTAAATCATTCTATGTTAAGATTTTTCAGTATTTCAAGTGAAATGTCAAGACCAATTTACCGTTTTCAACTTATCATTCTATATTTACAATTATGTAGTTATGGTGGTACCATTGCTTGTCGTCTTTGTAGCATTTGCAGATACCTAATTGTCACTTCTATGGGTTTAATAAATGTGTTGTTACACGATGAAAATCATGTTAAATTATGCATTGAAAATGTAAAAAGTAAGCGTAAATATTGATGTATATGACTAGAAAATTAGTAGGTAGGACAAAAATAGCCCTCATTTAATGGACAATTTTAACGGAATTAGTCATTAGGGACCATTTTCAAAGTAAGATGCAAATCTATATATATATATATATATATATATATATTAAAGGAGAAACCAAGGTTTATGACTTGGCTTCTCCTGAAAGTTGAAAACTTATTTATCTTTTTTTTCATTCATCCTCCTTTAATCTTTTTTTTTAATCCCACATTCTAATTTCTATAAACATTGATTATTCATTTATGTTTGCATTTAAAACAATCTTTTTATTTTCTCTAACTCTTCTTCATAAATTGTTCATCATTCAATCTCTTTTTCTCCATCTCTATCACTTGATTTGTTTTTCATTTCATTTTTCTCCATCTCCATCACTTGATTTATTTTTCATTTCATAAATTGTTATTTTTCAACAAATCTATTTTCAAGTTTATTTCGAGAAGACTAATTCAGGTATGTGTTCCTTTTTATTTTTGTTGGGATTTTAGAATTTTGTTTTTTTTACTTTTCTCTTCTATGATTTTCCAAAGTTTTCTCAATGAAACGGAGAGTTTGTTCTTGACAACACTTTTAGAGTTTTCATGGCAACAATGGTTCGATTAATCGTTTGATGATAGAATCTTGAAAGTATTACAAATCATAATGTAGCCTCAACAAATTTCAACATATTTTTGTAATGGTTATCTTTTTCAAGTATACTTTGAGAAAACTAATGTGTGTATGCATTCCTTTTGACTTTTATTGAGATTTTTGAAGTTTTTTTGTTACAATTTTTCATGTAGCATCACCAAACTTCAACATGCCCTTTTTAATGGTATTTTCAGGTTTATTTCGCAATTCTTCTTAATTTTGTTAGGATTTTATATGTTTTCTTTAACTAATGTCTTCTACATTTTTCTTAAGTTTTTTTTTTTTTCCAATAGAACCAACAATATGTTTTTAGCAATTGTTTTAGAGTTCGGTTGACAAAAACTATTTCTCATGGAATCTTGAGAAACCAAGTTTAATGAAAAACCATTTTTCATATTCATCTTTTATTTTCTCATTTATATTTTACATTAAAATGTTTTCAACATWCAATTGTTGAAA